AGTTGTATAGTTTTAATGTTTTATTTGGGAACAGAATGGTGTGTATGTGTAAGTTTGGTGATGGAGTTTTTATTATGAATGAATGATGAATTTTTAAGAATTATGTCTATTTTTTATGCTTAAGGACAACAGATGGAAATTAGCTCTTGGCTATAATCTGGTATGTTTACATTCATGTAATTTTTTTTTTTTACATTTATGTTCATTAACATGCACTGTCCTAAATAAATAAATAAATTAAATAAATATTCAAGTGCGTCTTATTATTAACTAAATTGTTTGTATAGCAAACAAACGACTGGCTTCTTTTCGGAACAGATTTCTTGTTGTTTTTAGCTGCTCTGTTTGTATAATCAACATGTTTACATAGTATTTAATAAAATATATATATGAAGAAATGAAAAGGGGCGGGGACACGTGCCGGGTTGTTACGTCACCGACGGTGCCGTGAGCGTCTCCGTCAGGACGCACCGGAGGAGCGGAGCTGAGCAGAGCAGCAACATGGCTGCAGATTACTGGGAGCCAGGAAGATCCGAGAAGCCGTCAGACTGAACCGAGCCACGGATAACCCGGGACAGACCGGGATAAACCCTCCCGGTGAGTAACGGTCACCCCCGGGCCTCGCGTGTAACCGGAAAACCGTCTTTATCAAATGGTGAGTGAGTCGTTGAGGGAGCAGCGGCCGCTCCGCCTCCGCTGCTATTTATAACAGTGAGGAGGACGGTTTACTGCAGGAAATACACGGCTCCCGTCCTCGGCTCTCCGGCTCAGAAACACACAGGCGTAGGCAGGTCCACGGAGACACGACACCCGAAGCGGCAGAACACAAACAACAGCTGCCACGGGGACACACACGTAGCTTCAGTTCCCGTTCCGTGCCGTCAGATCCACGGGCAGTGACGTAACGCATCTGTCAGGTACATGTCCTGTCACTCAGCCAGGTGTTAGCCGTCAGGTGTGCACGTGACATGAAGCGGATCTAAGTGGCTGTTTGGGTTCATTAGTGAGTGCGGGTACTTCCTGCTACACAAACCCGAGGCCCCGAGGCTTTTCATCAACACTGAGTAACATCACACTCACCTGTGTGCGTCAGATTCACCTGTGGA